AACCCAAATGGACCATGCCAACCGGGTCAAGTACATTCCAGAAATAGTTATGAACTTAGATACCTAATCCAACAATATTTAATTCAAGTGGTTAGTTGATTACTCGAAACATTATACAATGAATAAATTCATAATTGTTATGGTGATTAAATAACAGAGATTTATTAATAATCAATGGGTATGATACCATAGTCAATTAATTTATTATTGTGTTTCACTTTGCATGTTTTACTTCCTGAATGTTTTGATTATTCAAATTCCACAGTCACTCATACTTTTGGAAGTACGTAGTGAATTAAGATTGTCATGAATTGAATTGTAGATTGTATATGGGGATTAGACATTGCAATAAGATTGTTATAATGTTTATGAGTACTTAGAAAAATGGGGATTTTGAGTATTGGATAAACCCACGCTCAGAGAATTATTTCATGGATTCTATCACGAGTAATTATGAGATGATAATATCTTTTATTCTTCAAGCGGAGATATAGAAGTTGTAATTTACAAGTTAGTTTTGCATTGGTATTGTGAAAATGCCTCAGTAACATGATGTCATGAAATTTAGTGTCATGTATGATTTGGTGAGTAAAAGATACAAGTATATAAGTCGAAGTTTATTCGTTCCTTTTGCCTTAACAGGAAAAACGATATCTTTGGCCCCCTCGATATTTGTTGTCGACATCTGAAGTGCTTGGTCGATCCCAAAATAAATTGATGTGTTCAATTAGTAGTCATAATTAAGTCGTCATAAATCAAGAAATCGTGAAACAAAACCTTGGACTATGAGATTAATTCCGATCCAAGTCTCATGTCCATACGATGTAACGTCCCAAAAACTCAGAACCAATTTTTTTATATTAAATAAACCATCAACCAACATGTTTATCAAACCATAAGGAAATCAAAGTATATCAATAATCATCCAAAAATACATCATAATCAATAAATCGGAAAATCATGGTATGTGCAATGCGATCATCCCGAGCTCTTCCCCTTCGAACCGGAAGTACCTGAAACATAAACTGAAAACCATAAGCATAAAGCTTAGTGAATTCCCCAAAATACCACATACCATACATATACGTCAGCTCAAGGCTATACCGGGTCTATTTCAGCCCCGAGTCTATTTTAACTCATATGTCAGCATAAGGTTATACCAGGTCTATTTCACTCACGAGTCTATTTCAACTCATATGTCAACACAAGGCTGCATCGGGTCTATTTCACCCCATATACATATAGAAAACATGCACACATGCATACAAACATACAACAGGTGTCACAAAGACTACAAACACATACAATCCCTAGTGTCCTACAATATAGTGAGCAAACTCACCCCAGTCCGTTGACAATCAAATAGATGCTCGAGCTACTGGACCGGAGAATCCCCGCGCTAACCAATCAAATACAACCTTAATCAATAATTGGTTTATAAACCATAATCGGGACTTTAATTTACTAATCCCGACTCTTAGGGTAAAAGACCATTTTACCCTTCCCTTCAATTGGCCCAATTAACTGTGGCCCAAACTCAATGACACTCAAAGCCCAATAATGGCCTAAATCCATTAAGGCACTCAAAGCCCAATAATGACCCAAATCCATAAAGACACTCAAAGCCTAATAATGGCCCAAATCCATAAAGGCACTCAACCTAAAACCTATAGTCCAAAAGTAGCCCAAAACCAAAAAGCCCAACTGGCCCTTGATTGAGTGCGCTTAGCGTACCACCTGGGTACGCTTAACGTACAACTTAGCGATCAATAGGTTTACGGGGCTTCAAATGCGTACACGCAACGCATGCTAGAGTACGACTGACATACGCCCCTGTTAGCCAAATCTTCATTAAGCACTTAATGCTTTAAGACCAAACGTCCATTTTTCATATCCAGACATTGGGGGATGTCTTAAACAATAAAGTTACCAACTTGATGCCTTTGCATGGCTCAATTAGACTCATACCCTAGATTTAACATCCTACTTTCACCAAATGAGCCTTTACTCATGCATGGTTGATCTTCAACCATCAAGATGCAAAATTTATGGACTAGAGACCTCAGAAACATCAAGAGGAGAAACTCATAACTTTTAGAGTGACAAATCCCCACTAGAACTCATACATGGTACCAAAATATGCTCAAAACTTAACTAGATCTAGATCTAAGCTTAGAACAACCAAGGTCAAGACTTACGAGTTAAGTAGTTTTCCCCCTCATGCATAGATTTACTATCTATAAACCCATCACTTCTCCACCGGTTAGGTACTACCACCAGATACCACCAGATGTACCGGTAACGAAAGCACACTTTCTTTAGATTAATGGGTTTTGTTTGTGTAATATTTTCGAAATGACCCTTTACACATTCTCAATGGATGGAGCACCAAGCTTTGATCTACAAACATATTGTCGCCAATGTCCCTGTTCCTTCGTTTTAATCAATCACATCAGGAAATCACTCGACGAATTTGTGTTTTCCGGGTCGTCTTCAACCTCAAATGTACCCAATTTATGTAAGGAAATTCTTATAAATTCTTGTTTTTATTTGCTCATTCGTAGTTAATGTGTTTTTTGGATGGAAATGGAAGATGGGTGGGAGGTTTCCATTTAGGTTATCCGGGGAACAATGATCCAAAACCAGGGAGGTGTCGGAGAACAGATGAGAAGAAATGGCGGTGCTCGAAAGAAGATGTACCTGATCAGAATTACTTTTAATGGCAATGCTCGAAAGAAGTTGTACTTGATCAAAAAGACTATGAAAAGCATATCAATAAAGGTCGTCATCGTTCAAGAAAGCTTGTGGAAGGCAACAATGGTGCTCTGACGACCGGCGGTGGCGGTGGCGTCAACAACCAGTTCAAGAACTTGCAACCACATAATGTTGTCATGAACCAGTGAAATAAATAAATCATTTTGATGAACAAATGTTTTCTTGCTTAACTTATAAAATTCCGATGGCGGTGTAGGCCGGAGGAAGATAAAGCGCAATGGAGTACCCAACTCACGATGCCCATGGATTCCTCAGATTTCTCATCATCTTCAAATAAAATTCCAGATTCATGGAAAAATTCAATGGGTGGTCCATTAGGGGAAGCTTTGAAAATCAAATGGGGGAAACAGTAATCGTCATTCATGGTGGTGTTGGAAAATAGGGTAAAGGGTAAAGGGAATGGGGAGAGAGATATATATCTTAATCGATGAAGGGATGTCTTATTTTAATTAATGAGGCGACATCTAATTAGTAGGGGTGAACAAAACCGAACCCAAAAATCAAAAACCGAAACAAAAACCGACGGTTTGGGTTTAGATTTTTCAAAAACCGAAAATTTCAGTTTGGGTTCGGTTTTTGGGTTTGGTAAAATTGAAAGAACTCGAAACCGAACCGAAACATTTGAAATATATGTATTCTGTGAATAATATATATATTTATTATGCTTTTCGTGATATATAACAAATTAGAGGCGTGGTTCAGTGGCTAAAACGTTGGACACTGAAGCGTGAGGTCATGAGTTCGATCTTTCTCCCTCACATCGCTGAATTGATCAAACAATAAAACCGACCCAACCCGGCCCATGCACACCCCTACTAATTAGGAAGGGATTACTTGGTGACCCCTTCATTTCTTTCAAAGGGACTTTTTAAAATCTTAAAAACATGAATTCATACCCATAAAATGCAGAAAAAAAAGGGACATTTTAAACCAAAACACGTAAGTTGGTTGGGTTATAATGACAAGAACCCTTTAAACAATTGTCTTTTTATATAATTTTACATATTTTAAAAGTTTCCAACTAATTTTGTCAAACATTCATATAACAAATAAAAGCTACAATTTTTAGCTACCAGTTTCCAGCTAGTTTTGCCAAACACGTCATAAAAAATCTTTTTACTTATATCCCACTTCATTTTCACTCTCCTACATATATTCTCCTACATATGTGAAAACATTAAACCTCTTATTCAACTCTTCCAACTAGATCATTTTAACGATCAATTTTTTATTTATGACGTATAATATATTCAAACAAAGATATTACAGATGAGAACACTGATACATTCATATTAATCATGTACATGTTCAAAAATAGAAAAACCCAATTTAAAAAAAAAAAAAAATTAGGTAAACCCATTTTTCGAACAAAAATATGGGTATGAATGTTCCTAATACAAATTAGACTTCAAGTCAACTGCGGATTTTTTTAATTTTTATTTTTTTGTTCGAAAATGAAGAAGGAAAAGGTTCGAAGGGCTTCTTGGTCAATCTACAAGTAAAAGGAAATTCCTAGTGCATCAGCTTTTTTCCATCAACCCTCTCTAAAACCCCAAGAACACGATTCTTTAGGGGAAGTTGAACCAAACCCCACTTGTAAAAACATCGACTTTTTGTACAATTTGTCTTCATCTCCTTCCTGTTCGTTGCAAAATTTTCGTAAACACTAAACCCTTCATGCCTTTTCATTTCTACCACCATTTCTTTGCATTGCAAATGTGAAGGTAAAGTTCTTTTTATCCTTTTCAGGAATCTCTGATCACTAAACGATAACTTACTTGTTACTTACCGTTGATTTTCCCCATTTCTTGAATGTTTTATGTTTCGATATCCGTTGGTTAGGAATCCGGTTCGTTTTTTTGTAAATGCAACGCATAATGAACAAGATAGGATGATTCCCTTACTGTTTTTGTGTGTACTTGGTTCTAATGTCCAATCGCTTACCCAAGGAGATATCATCGCTGCTATTTGCGTGTTTTCTGACTTCATACATTTGATTTCACTTTCTCGTGTCACTCTATGATCTCAATGGCGTGTAACTTCATTTCCCATTTGATCTTACTTGGTTTTGGTTAATGTCTTCCTTTTTCTTTAACTCCTTCTTATAATTCTTAAAAATTGTTGTGTTTCCTCCAAAAATCATGTACAATCAGATGTGATCAATAACCGCAACTTGGTTTATTTTACTTTTGATTGTCTAGGAAACAGGGTTGTTTCTCCCCCTTTTGCAGAAACTTAGATTTTATAACTTTGAAAGATACAAATAAGGAGACATGAGAAATTACCTTTTTGTTCATTTCGACTTAATATGGACAAGATAAGTAAAAACAAAACCATGATTAGACTTTGGTTTTGGTGTGTATTTCTTACCTATTAAACTAATGAATCATTAAATGACTTATATGTCTGTTTTTGATACATGAGAGGCTTTGTTTGCAGACACATATTAATCAGAATAGTTGGTATTGAAGGAGTATAAAATGGCAGCAAAGAAGGAAGCTGTGAATGTGAATCCTAAGGCCATTATACACCAAAGATTTGGGGATAAAGCACATTACAATATAGAAGAAATTCAAGAATTTTCATCAAATGGATGTCCAGGGCTTGTGATTCCACAGAAAGGCCCTTGTCTATACCGTTGCTGCTTGCAACTTCCTGATTTATCTGTTGTTTCAGAGGTCTTTAAGAGAAAGAAGGATGCTATGCAAAATGCTGCAGAAAAGGCACTAGAGAAGGTACATTGTATTTTTTGTTTCTTTATTTTACTGATAATAGTTAAAGTACTAAATCAGTAAAATGGTGAAAGTACATTGTGCTTTTTGAAGAAGTTTATTGTGAAAATGACATCTTTTATGTGTTTCAAGAAGGAAAAAGAGAAGATAAAATTTTTCCCATTTAACTTGATGTGAAAAACAGAAAAAGAAATAGACAATTCTGTCCTCAGGAATCATGTGTTTTAATATCTCAAGTAGGCATTGAATATTTTCCAAATAGACACTGTTTTTCTTTAATTTATATCGAATGATATAAAATTATATTTCTTTGTTTGCAGTTAAGTGACCCTCCAGTAGAAAATCCATCAGATCAATTGGTATCTCGGCTGTCCTACTTATTCTCAAATGAGGTACCTGACTTTAACTCCTATTCCTTATCTGTGCAAAAGACGAGAATACCCTCACCCTCATTCCTATCTCTTTCTATCTATTACCATGTAACAAATGCATCCTTATGGAATGTAATGCTAAGGGCATTCATGTCTTTTGCACAAATGATGGATCAAACTCAATACAACCTGTTTTGTCATGTCATGTCATGTCATGTGTGGATTTGAATCTTGAAGTTCTTTTCTATACACTATTCACCTTTATAATACTGTTTATCTGTATGCTTTTTCGGTTGACCAACAGTTTTATGCCATCTGTCATCCACTGAGTGGTCACTTTCGGGCATCTTTGCATAGAGAGGGTGACCTCAACGGTTTTGTTCCTATTTCCATTATGCCCTTCTATGATTCAAAGATTTCTAATCTTTGTAAGAGCATAAAACCCGAGGTTGAGTTAAAACCATTGGATGTAACCTCAATTATAATGGAAGCTTCTGCAAGATTATCTGATACTGTATTCTGTTCTAAAGAGCTTTTGTCACTAAAAAGAGTAACTCCATACCCTCCAGAAGTTTTGCAATTGGTAGAAGTGTCTTCTGAGCAAGGAACTCATGTCAAGGTTATTCGTGTTCCTTATATGGTTGATAAGAATGTTGACTCTTTGACTCTTGATGTTTCTTCAAATAAGTATTACATGGATGTCATTGCTCAAGAACTTGGAGTTGCAGATGCTTCTAGGGTTTTGCTCTCAAGGTATGGTCTGTTTTATTTAGTGTTGTGTGGATAAATGATGTTTAAAAGATATTTGAGAAAATGATGACATATTTAGGGAAATGGAAGAAAAAAACAAATGAGGGCAAATTTGTAAAACAGTTATAACTTAATGGAGGAAGCTTACTTTCCCTAACTTTCTCTATTAAGTCATTCTTTCTGCATATTTCTTGTGAAAAACCACTTTGTTGCCTAAATGGACATAAAACCCTAGAATTTATATCAAAACCAGGGTTTTAATAGTAATGTTGAATCTAGGGGCATTGGAAAAGCTTCATCAGAAACAAGATTGTACTTTTGTGCTCCAAAATCACACGAATTGGATGTGATATCTGGAAATGAGGTAAAAGAAGGTCATTTGGATGAAACATACTTAAATACAAGGGCAAGTTACTTATGTGGTCAAAATATATATGGGGATGCAATCTTGGCTACTATTGGATACTTGTGGAAGTCTTATGATCTTTTCCATGAAGATGTGTCTTCTCGCACATATTATAGGTTTTTACTTCTACCCCTTTTCTCAGTTGCTCATATTATAGGTTTTTACCATGTTTAATCCAAAGTTTCACTTTTAATCATTATTTCACTGTTTCATAGCAAACTTGATACCTGAAACCTTGAAATGAGGATCAAAATCGACATGAAACCATGCAATAAAGACCAAAAGCAGAAAGTCCTAGGTGCCAAAATCAATATGAAACCTTAAAATATGGACCAAAATCGAAAAAAGGTTTCAGTTTTGGACTAAACACGGTAAAAATCAGAAAACACAGGGACCACTTTTGTAAATTATTCTATAAATTTCTAAAATCTTTTTCTTTTTTGCTTATATTGTTGTCAGGTTACTTTTGAACAAGGTACCCAGGGGTATATATAAATTGTCACGTGAAGCCATTTTTGCAGCTGAATTGCCCTTAAAATTTGGGACACGAAGTAACTGGCGGGGAATGTTTCCAAGGGACATCCTCTCCACCTTCTGCCGCCAGCACCACTTACCGGAACCCATCTTTTCCAGTACAACAACCGCCAAAACCACCCCGGGATCCGAAGAATCCTTCAAATCCGAAGTAAAAGTATTCTCAAAAGATCGGAATCTGATATTCCATTGTTTCCCTCAAGAATCATACAAGAAACAAACCGATGCTATCCAACATTCCTCTTTAAAAGTCCTCTCATGGTTGAATGATTTCTTAAATACAGATGGAAATACGATAAATGGGAACAAGGGCGATCTCGTCTTTTACCCCGAACATATCTCGAAGGATTTATTGGCACAAATTAAGGGTAATTATGAAAAAATGTTGGGATTTGAAGGTGGGAATCAAGATAAGATGTTTGAGTATCGGATTGAAGGGGCGGAATCAGAGATTACTCCGGCGAATGGGTGTTTAGTGTGTGTGGGTTACTGTGTGTGGTTGGTTAGTGGAGAAGAGAGGGAAATAATTGAGAAAAATGAAGAATTTGAATTTGAGTTGGGGAGTGAGGCGGTGATTCCGGATCTTGAAGCGGTTGTGGGTGGAATGAGTGTGGGACAATCGGGTTGTTTTAGAACCGAGTTGCCCCCTCGAGAGTTGATCTTTGCAGCCAATGGTGATTCCGAACGGATTTCGGTTTTACTATCATCAGGTGAGTACGGAATTGGAATTCAATTCCGTTCTGGTTGTTTGTTTGTTTGTTTGGTTGCAAATGAGTATGGAATGTAATTCCGTTGAAATTCACAAAAATCCTTTGACAGATGGGTTTCAACATTCCGTCCTAAAATGCATGGAATTCAATCCCATTCCAGTCATGTGTTTAATTGCAAATGAGTATTTCGTGGGATTTGGTCGGAATCGGAATTCAATTCCATTCCTGTATATGTTTGGTTGAAATTCATTAGGAAATTTAATTCCATTGTAGTTCACAGAATCTTTTTACCAATGGGTTTCAACACTCCGCCCTAAAACCCATGGAATTCAATTCCATTCCAGTACCGTGTTTGGTCGGAATCGGAAAAGTTAATTCCATTCGAGTCCCATATTTGTTTGGTTGCAGATGAGCAACGTATTCAATTCCATTGAAATGCACAGAATCTTTTTAACCGATTGATTTCAATATTCCATCCTAAAACCCATGTAATTCAATTTGGAGCATATCTTAAAATTACTAAAATACCCTTTTAACTCAAGAATCTCATTAGTAAACCTCTCTTGCCTCTCCATCTACATTCCCTCTTCTCAGTTCTCCCTCTCGAATTCCATTCCATTTCTGAATAACCAAATCAATTCCGCCAGATTCCAATTCCTTTGACTGATTCCATCCCTTCCAAAAACATTATGTTTCCATTTCTAATCTTTCAAATTTTAATAAATAGGTAACTGCATCCTGGAATACTCCACAACTTTGCTACGGGTTACCGAACCCTTAGAAGACCGAATGGAAAAGGCTTTATTCAATCCTTCTTTATCAAAACAACGTGTTCAATATGCAGTTCAACAAATTAAAGATTCTTCTGCCACTTTTTTGGTACATTCACAAATCTTTATACTTTTTCTTCAATGTTTAAGTTTAGGGACATTTTTTGAAGATCATATATTGTTTTTTTTTTGGTAGGTTGATTTTGGTTGTGGGTCCGGAAGCTTATTGGACTCATTATTGGATTATCCAACATCACTTGAACGAATTATTGGTGTTGACATATCAGTAAAAGCCCTAGCTCGTGCAGCAAAGGTGAGATATTCCGTTTTTACCCTTTTTGCTTTTCGGGTAATTATTCTTCTTTCATGATTCACAGTTTGATATTTTTGTATTTTATTTTACAGACTCTTCATTCAAAGCTAAGCAACAATTCAAGTGTTCCAATCAAAAGTAGCTGTATTAAATCTGCTTTGCTTCTAGATGGTTCCATTACAACTTTTGATTCTCGATTATATGGATGTGATATTGGAACATGCCTAGAGGTAAATGAAATCCTCATGTTACAAAAGTTTTATTTGATCACTTAAAAATTTACTTTTGAAAAGGGTATTTTAGACATTCTTGATTTATCTTGTAGGTGATTGAGCACATGTCGGAAGATCAAGCAACTTTATTCGGTCACATTGTTTTGAGTTCTTTTCTACCAAAACTTCTCATTGTCTCCACTCCAAATTACGAATACAATGTAATACTTCAAAAGTCAACTCCTCAGAGTCAAGAAGAAGAAGACAAAAACCCAACAAAACCTTGCAAATTTCGCAACTTTGACCACAAGTTTGAATGGACACGAGAGCAATTTCAAGTTTGGGCATCCGAAATTGCCAAAAAGCATAATTATAGTGTTGAATTTAGTGGTGTTGGTGGAGTTGAAGGGGTTGAACCTGGTTTTGCATCACAAATTGCTGTTTTTAAGAGGGTTTGTGAGCTTCAGGAAGGTGGGGAGTTGAAGGATGTGCCTTATGATGTTGTTTGGGATTGGAGGAGTAGTAATGAATGAGATTTTATGGAGTGAAACATTCTTTTGTGTTCATCTAACTAGTGAATTAGGTTGAGTCTTTTGGATGTTAGAAAGATTTGGGTGTTAATTGTAGAAACATTAATGGTTACTTATTGAAGTATGTGGGGCTATCTTAGTTTCTATTGAATGGTTTAATGGGAATATGACTTAAAGTGGTTGCTATTTTTGGGCCTAATGGGTTAAACACTAATCGCTTATCTATTTGCATTACCTATTTTTTTTCCTCTCAACTATTCTCATGTTAAAGTTGATGACTTGTTAAAATTGACTTTTGGAATGTAAAGGAAAACTGTCACTTAGTTCTAGTTTGTTTTTGTCTAGAAAAGAAATCGATTTTATGTATACAACTATTTTATACAAACATGTATTATTATTCGTTTGATAGTTTTACCTATACAAGACTTAATGACAAAAAAAAGAGAGATAAAAAACTAGTCTCCTAATTTATAGGAGGTTTTTTAATATAAATTTTTTACATTATGAAAAAAGAATGAGTTAGTGCAGAGAAATCTGTTTTTTTAAACCAGTTTTGAGATTTTACAAATTTGTTCCTATTTTTTATGCAAAATTTCAAAGTTTGTCTACATTTTTTTAAAATATCATTTATCAAAATATCATTTTATCTAAACAGAAAATAGAAACACGGATTGGGAGGGAGTATAAGAACAGTATGATAAACCTAAAACTGTAACAAAATACAGTGTTTTAAAAACCGGTTCGAACTGGTTGGACCAGGAACCGGGGATGAGAGCAGTTCAACAACGACCGGTAAGTTCTAGATCGGATTGAACCGGAGAGTTTCTTCAATAACCGAGTTGAACTGGTAAAAAACTAGGGATGAACATATGGACCGGGGAACCGGCCGGAACCGGAACCGGCACCGGAACCCGATGGAACCGGTCGGGCCGGGACCGGAACGTTATTTTTGTGAATTTTTGGAACCGGGAACCGGTAGGAAACGGAACCGATATAACCGGAACCGGTAGAACCGGCAAAAACCGGAACCGTATGATGCTATTTTTCGAGGACCGGTTCCAACATTTGAAGACACGACAAGAACCGGTAGGAACCGGGAACCGGTAGAACCGTCGGGCCGGTTCGGTTCTTGATTTTGGCCGAAGCCGGTTCCCGGGTCGGGTCCGGTTCGGGCCGGTTCGGTCCTTTTGCTCATCCTTATAAAAAACCGTTTGAACCGGTTTATTGGACTTTAATAGTTCGATTTCATTTAGCCATTAAAAAATAGTTAAGACAAAACTGCAAAAATGATCCCTGTGGTATGCATTTTTTCTGAGGTTTAGTCAAAACTTCGATTTTTTTGGTTTAATGGTCATTTTGAAGTAGTTTGTTTGTAGAATTAGTCCCTGTGAAAATTGAAAAGACTGATCTATCATTTTTAATTTTTTTTAATTTTTTTTATTTTCTTAAATATTTTTCCTTTTTATTTAAAATTTTAAAAGTAAAAATAAATAAAGAGGGCCCCCCCCCTCTCTCTCTCTCTCTCTCTCTCTCTCTCTCTCTCCCTCCCTGCATCCCCCAGATTCATGCTTGTCTTCTTCTCCTCACCTGCAAGTCGAAAATACATCTTTAATACATAGAGTACAACTTTTGTATAAATCCAATCAAGGAATCGTCTATGCTTCCAAACCCAGAAAATCTAGAACCGGTCATAGCTCTCAATCGATTAACAACATAGGGTCTTCTTCTTCTTTCTGTCAAAGTGTACAAAGAAAGAAAAAGTAGGTCTGCTCCTCACCTCATATTTTTGCAATTGATGCAAAATTTGGCCAACTCCGATGAATCAAAAGGAGGGAAACAGGTGAAGCTATACGACATATGCTCTCTTTCTCTCTCACTCACTCACTCACACACACACATACACACACACACACTCTGTGTGTGTGTGTGTAACATCCTAAAATACGAAGGTAAAAATTTCATTTTTAAAACATAATCAAACACTCATTTATCCTTTATTCAAACATTTAGAAGTATTTCAAATAAAAACAATTATTAGAGTTCATTCCTAAAATCACGAATTGCGGAAAACACGAGTGTGTGCGCTGCGATCAAGCCGAGCCCTTCTCTTTCGAACCGTAAGTACTTGAAACCATAAACCACAAATTGTAAGCACAAAGATTAATGAGTTCCCCAAATACCACATGACATACATAACATACAAGCCATACATATCATGCATACAATAGGAGGTGTTATGTGCCAACCATAGTCTTGCCGTTTTGCCACGAGCCGTATCATGGCCTTCCTTGCCAGGTCGGGGTCAAAAACCCTGGGTCTTACAGACAAGTGCTAGGAGCCACCTCCTGGTCTTCCATGCAAGCATCATAAAGACAACTAGCATACAATCTACAACTACTTATCTAATTGACTGCCAGAGTTCAGACTTTGGTCCTGCATACAGATTGCCAGGAGCTCCCTCCTGGTCTTTCATACAAATGCCAATGGCCACCCCTGGTCTTCCTAGTATACATAAACCAATTGGGCCGGCACTAGTGCCTTCGACCTATAGTACAGTGAGGAGACTCACCTCGACAGCTGAATCTACGAATAAATCTTTGACTGCTGATCCACTAGAATCCTCGCGATATCAAACAAATAACACCCAATTAACAATTAGGTCCCAAAACAAACCCAATGATCCATATATGGGGTAAAAAGACCATTTCACCCCTCACCTAGTTTGGTCCAAGACTAAGGCCCAAACTCTCCATCATAAAGGCCCATAAACTAATAATCATCCAAAGCCCGGAAAATTAGGCCCAAAACCTTACTTGGGCCTTACCCTAAAGCCCATTAATTTTTCCTAATCCAAAACACATATTCTTAGCTGATCCAACAAACCCCCAAGCAACCAAGCCCAAAAGATAGCCCAAACCGAAGCCTAAACACACCAAGCCTAATCAGACCAAGTACGCGGGGCGTACAGACACGTATGCATAGCGTGCTCGCTTAAAGGCTTGTACGCTAAACTTACCTTCTTGTACGCCCAGGGTACTCACCCTTATTTAGCCCAACTCGATTTTCACTTAATCCATTAAGACAAAGCTCCAAAACACAAATCTGACCTCTTTGAGCTGGAATACCACGTAAAATTGCCAACTTTACGTTCATACGTGGCTAAAAGAAGCTCTTAAGCTTAAAAGGGACTTAATGCTTGACTTAATGCATACATGACTCCATAATACACATAAACCTTGCACCTTTATGCTCAATGATACCAAAACAAACTCAAATCTGAAAGGATGAACCCTTAAACAACCTAACTCATCCATAATCTCAAAAAGACGACCAAAATCATAATAAACTAGCCATGAAGAGATCTAATCATGCACAAGCCAAGATGCAAACTTGATGTAACGCCCGTAGATCCGGGCTAATCAATTTAGAGGCAATGAACATTAAAAATGAGTTTTTGATGGAAGCTTATTTAGAAGGAGTAATCTTAACCAAGTTGTAGAATATGTCACAAGGGTTCCGTACACATAAATAATGCCGAAATCCGAGTTACAACGAAGAAGTTATGGCACGTCGAAGTTTCGCGACAAAACTGGCACGACACTACGCGACGTAAATAGTGAATTTACGATAGAGGACTTTTTGGCCATAGTGATCTAAAAAAAAGTTGTAGTATACGTTAAACCGAGATCGTGCATAAAAAGAACGCCCAAATCTGACTTCGTATGAGGAAGTTATTATTTTTCTAAGATTTGGCCTAGCAGTGCACGACCCGAAACTCGAATTTTAGATCGAGCGGTTTTTGGCCAACGCGACCTAAATGAGAATTGAAGACCTCATTAATAGGAACTCAACGACAAAAAGAGAGACGAAAACGGAGTCCGTATGTAGAAGTTATGAATTTTACGCGGACATTTAACAGTGTAGTCACCTTCTACTGTTAAATTTAAGATCGGTCGAGAATTAGCCGACGAAGTCAAAAGGAAAGTTGTAGATCTTATTTTTACCTATGCGTGGATATAAAGAACGTCAAAACGGAACTCGTATGCGAAAGTCACGGATTTTAGAAGTCGGAAGTGTGTTGTGGGAAAATGGGTGACGTGGCACAATCTTGACCATTGCTTTCTCCCCAAGTCTTGCCACCAGATGGTGACATGTGGCACCAAGTTCAGCCATATTTCACCCTATAAATAGAACCTCTCCCACCCTCATTTTCTTCACACCTTTCCCATTCTTTATTCTCTCTACACTCTCTCTAAACCTCCCAAAAACTCCCCTAGCGCTAGAAGAAAGCCCCAGAGCGCTCGACGGCTCCGAGAAGAAGAGCTTTCGGCTCGGAAGTCCTGCCCCTGCAGAGCCCGGCTTCTAGCCAAACCCCCTCGTAGGTTTCGTCAAAGGAAAATAGAATCGTTAAAAGTGAAGCACTACCCGAGTTTGGAATCATCACTTTAACAAGTGAGTGCATAGTTACTTTCATCTTACACATAGATATGAAGT